TTGTACCATCTCCCCTGCCCTTCATTCATTCATTCTCAGACTTGTTCATTTCTCTGGGTTTTATTTTATACAGAGAAGGGAAGCCCTAACTCCCCGCTCTGTGCTCAGGAGAGACCCCTGGCGGTGATAGGGGGAACAGCTGAGGATCTTGCGGCATCAGGTACTTGGAGGGCCTCACTCCCTGTCCTGTCTGGGCGCCCCTCCAGAACGATACTTTCAATGGTTTGAAAATCCTGCCGTGGACCTGGAGCGGTAGCACAGCGGGTAGGGCGTTTGCCTTGCACGCGGCAGACCAGGGTTCGATTCCTAGCATCCCATATGGTCCCCCGAGTACCGCCAGGAATAATTCCTGAGTGCATGAGCCAGGAGGAACCCCTGTGCATCGCCCGGTGTGACCCAAAGAGCAACAACAACAACAACAACAAAAGCCTTGCCTTGGAAGTCCTGTCCAAGGGGCAGCGGGGAGGGTGTTTGCTTTGCATGCAGCCGGCCCTGATTCCATCCCCAGCATCCCACTGGGCCCCCCAAGCCCCGCCAGCAGTGATTCCTGAGTGCAGAGCCAAGAGTAACCCCTGAGCATCACCGGGTGTGGCCCCCAAACAAACAAACAAACAAACAAACAAGAAAGTCCTGTAGAAGCTGGAGAGTTCCTTCCTGGGCCGGCATAGTTTTCCTGCACACTTCCACAAAACTCCGTGCAGCCTGTTGTTATCAGTCACTCTGGTCTGGAATGTGAACCCCGCCCCCCACCAAGGGCGCCTTACCTGCATGGTCAAATATGTAGAGTGGACACTGGGCGGGCGGGGAAGTCTATTTTTAGTCTGAGCTTGACCCTAAGCTCCCGGGGCGGGGCCGGAGTTCTGGGGAGAGGCCAAAGGTTCAGGCAGCCCTGGGCCCCAGCAGGAGAGGCCAGGAGCTGGACCGTGGGTGGTGGTGGTGGGGGGGCTGCGTCCCTTGCCTCGAGGTGGGGCATCTGCATCCACAGCTGGCTGCTGGGCCACTCCCCATGGCTGCTCCCTGCCCCCACCCCGGCCCTTGTCCCTGGAAGCAGAATGGTGTGTGGCAAGAAATGTAAAAAGGTCCCTGGGCGCTTGGGGCAGTTCAAAGGAGCCCCAGGAAGGAGGGTTTCAGGACCAAGCCCCAATCAGCCACTCACAGAAGCCAAGACGGAGCCACCTACTGGGTATGGGGGCCAGAACCCAGCTGGGCTTTGCAGCTGGACCTGCACCCCGGCCCCCCACAGCGCCTACTGGGGCAGGGGGACCTCAGGGGGACCCGCTTCCGGGTGTCGGTGTTGGCGCCAAATTCCCTCTCTGCGTCCAGGCAGCCTTGCGGAAGCACTTGAGTCTCTTTGGAGGAGGTTCGTTTTGTTTTGTGGCCTCCCCGCGAGCCATCCTGGCTTTGCGCTCAGGGATCACTCCTGGCCATGCTCAGGGGTTCCTCCCGGCTCTGTGCTCAGGGATCACTCCTGGCGTGCTTGGGGGACGCTATGGGATGCCAGGGACCGAACCGAGGTCGGCTACTCTCACCAAGGCAAGTGCCCTCCCCGCTGTGCTATGGCTCCAGCCCTCTTTCGGGCTTCTTTTGCTGTGGGGAGGATCCCACTCAGGGCTGCTCAGGGCAGGGGGGATGTTACCCCGATCTCCCCCTGCAAAGCGTGTGCTCAGCCCTTTGAACCATTGCTCTGGCCCTTAAATTTTTCTCTACCAATTCACTCCTTTCTCTGAAATGCAATCACAGGGGCACTGTTATAGCCCCTAAAGGTCAAAACACTATTGTGTTTAGTGGGTTTCTGACAGGTTTGAGAAAACCTATCACGGGGGTCGGAGCCCCTTTGGAGCAATAGTACAGTGGGGAGGGTGTTTGCCTTGCACGCGGCTGATCCGGGTTCGATTCCCAGCATCCCATAGGGTCCCCCGAGCACCGCCAGGAGTCATTCCTGAGTGCATGAGCCAGGAGTAACCCCTGTGCATTGCCAGGTGTGACCCAAAAAAGGAAAAAGAATTAAAAATTTCATAAATAAAAGTCAATATGATTTCCTAAGCGCCGCCCAGAGTAATACCTGTGTGCAGAGCCAGGAGTAAGCCCTGCACTGTGCACTGCTGGGTGTGACACAGAAATCAAAAACAAAATGATACTAAAAGACATGGGAATTTACAGTAGTAAGAGGTTTGGAAGAGTTACAAGGGGGAAGGGACTTGGAGAGAGAGCAGAGTGGGGAGGGCGCTTGCTTTGCATGAGACCCAAGAATCCCCAGCACCCCATGAGGTCTCCCCCCCCCCCCCCGCCCCCTGCACCTCGCCAGAAGTGATCCCTGAACACAGAGCTGGGCAGCGGAAACCCTGAGCACTGCTGGGTGTGTCCCAGAAACCAAAAGAAGGAATAGGATGCTTATCCCTTCTGGCACATAGACAAGGAGACAGAATGAGGCCAGGAGTGTCTGACTAGCTTCCCTGGCCTGGGAAAACTGGGGTCCTGGCCCCTCCCCCCATGCCCCCTCCCTGTTCCCTGCTCTTAAGGGACAAGGGGTTAGGGCCGAGCCCCGGGGGCACTGGCTACATGTCTCCCTTGGGCTTCGTGGGACCAGAAGGGAAACCACGGGCGATCTGCAGTGCACTCAGCCCACAGCAGGGCACCGCGCGGGAAAGAGGAGGAGATGCTGTTTGAAAGCATCCACGGGACCCAGACACGGCACGGCGGGGAGGGCCTTTGCCTTGCAGGCAGCAGACCTGGAGTGTTCAGGCAGGAGAAAGCCCCAAGTCCTCTGTCTGAGCCATGAGGAAGGAAGGGAGGGAGGGAGGGAGGGAGGGAGGAAGAAAAAAGAAAGGAAGGGAGAGAGGGAGGAAAAAAGGAAGGAAGGAAAGGAGGGAGGGAGGGAGGGAGGAAGGAAGGAAGGGAATGGAAGGATGGATGGAAGAGAAAGAAAAGAAAGTAAGGAACAAAGAAAAGGAGGGAGGGAGGGAAAGAAAAGGAAGGAAGGAAAGAAGAGTGGAAGAATGGAGAAAAAGAAAAATAAAAGGAAGCAAGAGAAAGAAAGAAAAGGAGGAAAAAAGGAAGGAAGAAAGGGAGGGAGGGAGGAAAAAAGGAAGGAAGGGAGGGAGGGAGGGGGAGGAAGGAGGAAGGAAGGAAGGAAGGGAAAGGAAAGATGAATGGGAAGGAAGGGAGGGAGGAAGGGAAAGAAAAGGAAGTAAGGAAAGAATGGAAGAAAGAAGGGAGAAAAAAATAAAAGGAAGCAAGAGAAAGAAAGAAAAGAAAGGAAGGAGTAAGGAAGGAAGGAAGGAAGGGAGGGAGGGAGGAAAAAGGAAGGGAGGGAGGAAGGAAGGAGGAAGGAAGGAAGAGAAAGGAAGGATGGGGGGATCATCGATTTGCTCGAGCGGGGCCCAGTAACGTCTCCATCATGAGACTTGTTGTTACTGTGTTTGGCATATCGAATACGTCGCGGGTAGCTTGCCAGGCTCTGCCGTGCAGGCGAGATACTCTCGGTAGCTTGCCGGGCTCTCCGAGAGGGGGCAGAGGAATCGAACTCGGGTCAGCCATGTTGGCTGCGTGCAAGGCAAATGCCCTACCATTGTGCTATTGCTCCAGGAAGAGAAAGGAAGGATGGATGGAAAAGGAAGAAAAGGAAGGAAGGGAGGGAGGGAGGGAGGAAGGGAAAGAGAAAAGGAAATAAGGAAAGAAGAATGGAAGAAAGAGGGAGAAAAAGAAAAATAAAAGGAAGCAAGAGAAAGAAAAGAAAGGAAGGGAGAGGAAGGAAGGAAGGAAGGAAGGAAGGAAGGAAGGAAGGAAGAAAGAGAGGGAGGGAAGGAGGGAGGGAGGGAGGGGGAGGGAGGAAGGGGGAGGGAGGAAAGGAGGGAGGGAGCAAAGAAGGGGAAGGAAGGGAAGGAAGGGAAGGAAGGAAGGAAGGAAGGAAGGAAGGGAGGGAGGGAGGGAGGGAGGGAGGAAGGGAAGGAAGGGTCTTCCCTGCAAACACTCCTGAAAAGTATCAACCCATGAAGGAGAAGGAAGGAAGGAAGGAAGGAAGGAAGGAAGGAAGGAAGGAAGGAAGGAAAAAGGAAGGAAGGAAGGATCTTCCCTGCAAACACTCCTGAAAAGTATCAACCCATGAAGGAAGGAAGGAAGGAAGGAAGGAAGGAAGGGTCTTCCCTGCAAACACTCCTGAAAAGTATCAGCCCATGAAGGAAGGAAGGAAGGAAGGAAGGAAGGAAGGAAGGAAGGAAGGAAAAAGGAAGGAAGGAAGGATCTTCCCTGCAAACACTCCTGAAAAGTATCAACCCATGAAGGAAGGAAGGAAGGAAGGAAGGAAGGAAGGAAGGAAGGAAGGAAGGAAGGAAGGAAGGAGAGAGAGGAGGGAGAAGCCAAGTCCTCTTTGGGGCCACAGGGAAGCTACAGTGGACAAAGTTCTGGCCTTGCATGAGGCCAATTGAGGGTCACTCCCCGGCACCCCACAGGTCCCCCGAGCCCCACCAGGAGTGACCCCTGAGCACAGAGCCAGGAGGAAGCCCTGAGCACTGCCAGGTATGATGAAGCCCTCCCCCCACTTCCCAACAAAAAAGGAAATGGAAGGGGAGGGGGATCTTCTTAAAAACTGTTTTTGATTTCTTTTGCATTTGGGGAGCCACACCTGGCAAGGCTCAGGACTTACTCCTGGCTCTGTGCTCAGGGATCACTCCTGGCGTGCTCGGGGGACCCTAAGGGGTGCCGTGGATTGAACCCAGATCAGCTGCATGCCAGGCCAGTGCCTTCCCCCCATCCCCACCCCGTCCTATCGCTCTGGTCCCAAGGGGAGGGGGATTTTTAAAATAAGGTTCGCGTGAGGTTCAGAGAGGTTATGTCACTTCACCAAAAACACACAGCATGTCAGGATCCTCCCCACACACCCCATCAAGTCGCACTGGAGATTGAGGAAAGGCGTTCTGATGGGCCTGCCCCCTTCCCAGCTCCCTTTCCCAGGATGGGCCCCCGCACACACACAGCTCTGACCTGTGCACATTTTTCCCTAGGAAGCCCGCAGGGTGCTGTCCCGGGTGCTCCAGCGACCTCCTGACCTGCTGCAAGAGCCTGTGGGGGCTTCGGCTGCTCCGGCGCCACCCCCAGCGGGAGCCCCCGGAGGAGGCGCCGGGCGAGCCCCTGAACGAGGAGTCGCTGAGGACCCCCGCCAGGGCCGGGGGGGCGGACGCTGCTGCCCGCTCAGACTGTCTAGAGGCGGCCCGGTCTCTCATCACCGCCAGCGGACCCCCCGGCGCCCCCCACGACACCCCGAGACGCAGGGCACGAGCCCGGGGGCCCGCCCCCCGCCCCCAAGTGAAGAGAGGTGCTGGGCTTCCAGGGCGCCGGGGGAAAGGATCCTAGACCATTCTCAAAAGGGTTCGTGTCGGGGCCGGAGCAACAGGACAGCGGGGAGGGCGTTTGCCTTGCACGCGGCAGACCCGGGTTCGATCCCTGGCACCCCAGAGGGGTCCCCCGAGCACAACCGGGAGTGATCCTGGAGCACACCGCCAGGTGTGGCCCCAACAACCACAACAGAAGGGGGTGTGTGTTGGTGTTGGTGCTGGCCGAGGCCACAGCGGCACGGGAAGGGCCACCTCCCTGACGGGGTCTCGGGGTGAGGTGGAGGAAGGCGGGTGTTGGTCTTCAGGGAACATCTGTCATTGGGTGCTCGCCTGAGTTCACAATGTCATGGGGCTGGGGGGGGCCACAATGGCATCTCTACAGGAGGCGAGATCCAGGGGCTGGCCCGAGCCCTGCTGAGTCCTCGGAAAACGGGGGCTGAGTGGACAAATGACTTAGTGGATGGATGGAGGAATAGACGAGTGAATAAATGAATGGATGGATGGATGGGTGGGCAGTGTGTGTGTGTGTGTGTGTGTGTGTGTGTGTGTGTAAAAATACAGATATGTGTGGGCAGCGGGTCGGAGCAATAGGACAGCGGGGAGGGCGTTTGCTTTGCACACGAACGACCTGGGTTCAATTCCCAGCATCCCCTAGAGTGCCCTGAGCCTTGCCAGGAGTGATTCATGAGTGAAAAGGAAGGAGTAACTCCCCCCTCTGCCGAGAATCCCCCCAAATAAAGACGACCCCAAATAAAAAAAAAGCAAAACAGATGATGTGGACAGATGGATGGATGGATGGATGGATGGACAGACCGACATGACTAAATTAATGGATAAATGAGTAAGTGAGCTGATAAATGAGTGAACAAATTAATGGATGGATGGGTGGATGGATAGATAGGTGGATGGAGAGATGGATGTAAGGACGGATGACTAAGTGATGGATGGTGAATGGGTGGATGAGAGAATGAAGTGATGATGAGTGGATGGAGGGAATGATGGCTCCCTGGATGCATAGACGGATGGCTGAATTCCTGGATGGCAGCTGAGTGAGCAGATGAGTCAATGAACGGATGGATGGATGGGACAGACGGACAAGAGGATGAGTGGGAACTCAGACTTCACGCCCATACTTGGGACAGACACTGCCCTGCCTTCCGGCAAGCGCTCACAACAGGCGCCTTGACTCAGTCTCCCTTCCTGCTGCATGGAGCCCGCCAGGGACGGGGTGGGGGGTGTCCCTTCAACGCTGCAGTTCTGATCTTCTCTGGTGCTTACTGTCAACATGAAGCGGTGTCGGATGGACTGGCGGGGGGAGGCCGCCGGGGAGGGCCAAGGGGAGGAAGGGGAGGTTGACCCCACAGTGCTCTCTCTCGGCTGAATGCACAATGGGGGGGTAGGGGTGCCTTCCTGGACACTTCTGAGCCCGGTCACTTCCCCCACACTCTGGGATAAGCTCCCCTTTCGCCCCAAAGACCCAAGGAGGTGGGGCAGGGGCACCCAAGAGATGGCGGTAACCGTGGTATCCGTGAACCCTCCCACCCCTGTCATCACTGGCCCTCCCAGAATTCATTTTGCCCCTGGAAACCAAGACACACCCCCCCACCAACCCCGACTGCCTCTCCACCAGGGTCCTGGGGTCCCTCCGGAGCTAACCCACGGCCCTCAGATGTGATGATGCCCGGTGGCTAAGCCTGGAATCTTCCCCTCCAGCCATGTCTCCCCTCCCCCCACCCTGAGGACACCAGGCCCCTCCATAGGGCATCTCCTCTTCCGGGGATGACACCCAACCCTGCACTGTGGCTTCTGTGGCTTGGACTGGTCCACAGCTGGGCTCTGGCCACACCCCCCCACACACACACCTGCTGTCTTCCTCCCTCCCTGCTGGAACCCCCAGGAAGGGCCCAGCCCCCCACCCCGCCCCCACATCCTCCTTTCCCAGACAACTGGAGGCGGCTTCGGATCCCGCCCCCAGCTCCTTTCTTGCCCACTTCCTTCGGCCCACGCTGCGCCCCGGCGGGTGGGGGTTAGTGCAGGGAGAAAAGGGGTGTGCACAATGCAGCAGCCAGGCCCAGTCTGCGGACACGAACACGCGAGGAGCGTGTTCCTCCAGGGCGTTTCCCCGAGACCTCAGCTGAGATACCTCTTCTTGTGACCCTCCCTTTGGGGGCTTCTGACCCTCAGGCAAGCCCCCTCCCCACCCCACCACCCCAGAGAAGCCGTGTTAGGGGTTCAATTCGCCTCAGCCCCGAGAACCCAGCTCCTGTCTATCTCCGCCTGCCACTCCCCACTCCAGGTCGGAGGTGGGGGGTCCTGCGAGTTTCTAGGGGTTCTATTGAACCCCCCCTCGGAGAAGTATTGGTACCTCATTGGCATCTGAAGCAGAGTATCTGCGGACATGCTGGAAAGCATGATTTTCTCTCCCCCAAGCCCCATCTAGTCACAGATGTCTGGATCTCTGCGGGACTCTGCCCAGGCCCGAGTTGTGGCCAATTTGTGGAGGGCTGAGGTGGGGCTGGCTGATCACAGACACCCTCCCCAACTCAGCCGGGAACGCCCCCGCAACTCCCAGGGTCCACACGCCCGCCTTCTAGTCTGTCTCTGAGCCGAAACCCACACCCCCGCCCCCAGGCTCAGTCACCTGCAGCAGGGGCGCACGGAGACCCAGAGTGGGGCCTCTTGCACTGGGCGCCCCACCCCCAGTCCGTGGTCTGTGCCCCCCTCATCGTCCTTCCAATAAATAAATCTATCAACAAAGACCTCGTCTCGCGGCTTCTTCCTTTCTGACCTTTCCAAGAAAGAAGAAACGGTCGGTGGCTTTACCATGCAGTGTCTCGATTTAGAAATCGGGGAGGAGGGGTCGGAGAGCCATTGCCCGCCCCCCCAGAGATAGCACAGTGGGGAGGGCATTGACCTTGTATGTGGCTCACCCGAGTTCGATCCCCAGCATCCAATAGGCTCCCCTGAGCACCACCAAGAGTGACTCCTGTAAGTCCTGGACACAGCTCAGTGTAGGCCCCCAAAAAGTAAAAAAAAAAAAAAAATGGGGCTGGAGCAATAGCACAGCGGGTAGGGCGTTTGCCTTGCACGCGGCCGACCCGGGTTCGATTCCCAGTATCCCATAGAGTTCCCGGAGCACCGCCAGGAGTAATTCCTGAGTGCAGAGCTAGGAGTAACCCCTGAGCACTGCCGGGTGTGGTGACCCGAAAAGAAAAAAAAAGGCAAAAACAAAACAAAAGATAAAAGGAAATCGAGGAGGAAACTCGAGGAGGTGGGGGATGGGCTTGGGCGGGAAGGGAGGGCACTTGCTTTGCAGGAGACCCACCCCGGTTAGATCCCCAGCATCCGGTAAGGTCCCCCAAGCCCTATCAAGAGTGACAGCACAGCAGGGAGGGCGTTTGCCTTGCACGTGGCTGACCTGGGTTCAATCCCCAGCATCCCTAGGGTCCCCCAGCATAGCCAGGGGTGAGCCCTGAGTGCAGAGCCAGGAGTAAGCCCTGAGCATCTCCGGGTGTGTCCCCCCCCCAACCAAAACCACTGGGGAGGGAGTCATGAGGTCAGGGGCGGATGAGGCCTCAAACCTCAGTACCACAGTAGCCCCCAGCACTGGGGGTGCGGGGGGATCTCTAGTGACTCCCCAGCTCTGCTGGTCACTCTGCTAGGTCCCTGCAGCGCTGCACCCTCAGGCCTGAGCATCAGACTGAGGTATCACTGGGAGTGACCCCTGGGTCCGCTCGGGTACTACTAGGGAGCAGCCGCCAGCCCCCGCCCCCACTAAAGGGACTGACCTTGGCTTCACCTCACTGCCAAGATGAAGTGTTCCCCTTGAGACCTCTCCCTCAGTCCCTCCCCGTCCCTCCATCCCTCGGTCCCTCGGTTCCGAGGTCCCCAGAAGGGAAGAGTTTTGCCCTAATCAAAGGCAGACAGACCGTCTTTGTTCCCGGGAGAACAAGTTCTCTTTGAAATGGAAAATCTGTTCTGAAATGCCGGCTAGAGACGGCAGCCTGCGGGGGAAGAGGCTTAAAAAGCTTCCAGAAGAGGCTTTGGTTGTGGGGGGAGGTGAGGAGGGGGGAAGAGGTGGGAGGGAGCCGGCCTGCGTCAAGGTCGCCGACGGTCAAGGTCATTACGATGACCCGGAGCAAAGTCACTGAGAGCATCCCAGTCTGCAGAGCCCTGAACCAGGCGCCGAGGGAGGGGGTGACCCCGGTCTCTCCGGGGGACACTTGCTGGGGGGGCGTTTGGTTTGCAGGCGTGAGGAGGGAGGGTTGTGAGTCACCGACCCTTTGCCATCCACCCACCCACACACACACACCCCGCGGCTTTTATATAAACCAAGGGAGAAAGACAGTCCCCTCCGCCCCCCAAAGGGAGAGCAGGGAAGCAGGCGGGAGCCACAGACTCGGGGGTGGGGGGCGTTGAAGCCGCCGGGATTATACTCCTGGAAAAGGGGGCAGGAAGCCGGCCCCAACCCCCCAAAACCAGCCACGAGGGGAGGGGTACTTTGCTGGCGAACAGCCAGGAGGTGATCCTGTGCACCTTGGGGGAAGAGTAACTTTTTGCAACAGGATTCTAACCAACCGGAAGGGGAGATAAGGAGGCAGTGGAGGGTGGTGAGGGTTGGGGGACGTAGGAGGCTGATACAGGGAGACCCCCCCACGCCCACTCCAAAGAGAGACTGAGCTTGCACTAGAGTTTTATTTATTGATTGATTTTTTTGGGGGAGGCCGGGGTTCGGGGGGGTGCACACCCGGCGATGCTCGGGGCTTACTCCTGGCTCTGTGCTCAGGGATCAACAGCCCGGGCAGTACTTTAGGGGCTGGGGGGAATCGAACCAGGACCTGCAGTGAGCAAGGCAGGCAAGCGACCTACCCCACTGGACTCTCTCTCCCCCGCCAGCGAGAGGGGCTTTCTGGGCAGTAGGACCCTCTGATGGGGGGAAGACTGTCCCCAGCGTGGGGGCTGGAGGCCAAACAGCCCGCAAGACTGGGCGAAAGGGCTGAGAAGGCCCAGCAGGGAGAG